TAGACTTTCAATGCTCTGACTGGGCATAAGGATAGATCCTGAGCATCCTGTGAGCCAAGGACTGCCGAGAGTGCTGAGATGTGGAATTGTCTGTCTGGTTGACCGGGCAGTTGGTTCTTTGCTATGAAGTCCCATCTCAATCCCAGATGTATGATGTTGTGATGTGCATCAAATCGTATTCGTTCAAAGTCCAGAGCATGTATTTCCGACATCAGAGCTGCTGTTGCCAAGGCGACCAGGAACAGAGTTTTATGTGTTAGAAACTCATAGGATGTCCTTTCTAATGGTTCGTAAGCGTCACTGGTGAGATGCTGCAAGACTACGTTGAGTTCCCAAGCTGGCACTTTAAATTTCTTTTGTTGGTCTTCCAACTTAAAGGAGCGTAGTAGAGCCAGTATCTCTGGTACTTTGGTCAGCTTAACACCCGTCTTCATGGTGATAACCGTGCTGAGGGCTGCGAGGTATGTAGAGAGTGTTGAACCTTTTAACCGCCTCGTTTGTCTTAGATGACAAAGGTATTCCGCCACTTGAGGATGTGTTGCTTTCATCGCGTGAAGCCCTTCCTCAATGCATATTTCTCAAAACTCTGCCACTTGTTGTCGTACAAGCTGCGGGTTGATCTACATAGAGCTAGTGTGACTGCGTTCGCTGCTCTGGCGGAATATCCTCTTTTCTTCGAGCAAGTTTTGATATGTTCCATGCGTGTAGTTGGAATACTGTTGGATTTCCGTGTACTTGCTTGGTGTGCGGATGAATTAGTAGGTTCGGCCACTCTGGGAGTTGCAAGGTTGGACTTCCGAGTTCTTGTATGAGGATGGGAAACCACACCCTCGCTGGCCAGTAGGGCGCGACCAAAATCAGTTGCAGCTTCTTCGTCTGCTTGATTTTCTGCAACACCTGCGGTATTAGAGCTGGAGGTGGAAATGCGTACGCGTTTAGTCCTTCCCAGGAGATGCTTAGAGCATCTGTTGCCCATGCTTATGGATCCGGAACTGGAGAGACGAATGTTGGTAGTTGTTTGTTGAACCTTGTAGCAAACAGGTCGATCAGCGGAGATCCTATCCTCTGTATGATGCATCTGAATGCTTCTGGGTGTAACATCCATTCCGTCGGAGATGGTTGCGTTGGACGAGATAGGCCCCTGGGAATGTGACATGCTTTTAAGTCGACGTTCAGGTTGTCTATTATGCTGAACAGATGAAAACTGAGGTCTAGAAGATTCCTTGACCTTGTGGATCCTTGTTTGTTGATGTAGAACACCACTGTGGAGTTGTCCGTATGGATCATCAGTTGTGAGTTCCTTAGTATGCTTGACCAGTGTAGTAAGGCGTTTATTACTGCTTTCATCTCGAGCATGTTGATGTGCAGACTTTGCTCCTGACTCGACCATTTCCCTGCTGCCACTTCGTTGTTGAGGTGGGCTCCCCATCCTTGAAGTGATGCATCTACGTAGAGATGAGTGTTGTACTCCGGCTCTGATAAGTAGGTTCCTCTGCAAACATTTGACTTCCGAGTCCACCATAGAAGATATGGTTTCAGTCCGTCCGGTAGTCCGAAGGAGTCTAAATGAGCGTTCACGAACACTTGTAGTGGGCGCACTTGTAGCCTTCCTCTGCGTGTCATGTCTTGTGCTGACGTGAGAAGACCAAGTAGGCTCTGCCAACTTCGTAGTGGTAACGGAGAGAGTAGTGCTTGAGATATCATTTGTTGTATCTTGACCCAGCGCTCCTCTGGGACGACTATACGATTCGCCGATGTGATGAGCCGTATTCCTAGGAATTGCAGATCCTGTGTGGGTTCTAGTTCCGACTTGAGGAGATTTACTAGCCATTCTAGTTGAGTGAGTAGCCTGATTGTGAAGTCTAGCTGCAGTCTGAGTTGACGGGATTTTGATGAGCTTGAATCCCGTCGTCCAGGTAAAACGCACTGCGTAGACCTCGATGATGTAGATATGTGATGATTGGCTTTGTCACTCGAGTAAACAACCAGGGGGCCGACGATATTCCAAATGGTAGCATCTTCCATTGGAAGTGACGTCCGTTGAAGAGGAATCGTAGGTATTTCCTTGAGTCCGGATGTATCGGGATGTGAAGATACGCATCCTGTAGATCTATGCTGGCGAGGTAGTCTAACGGACGTACGAGTTGTCACAGTTGAGGAAGATGTATCATTCTCAACTTTGCGGGACTGCGTAGATAATCTTGGTTGAATTTCCTCATGTTGTAGATAAGTCGGAACTTTTCCCTGGAATTTTTCTTTGGTACTAAGAAGATTGGGGAGTAAAAACCGGGCGTGACGAGCTCCTGTTTTATTTCTTTGATCGCCTCCTTCTCGAGTAGAGTTGTGATGGCGTAGAGTAGGTTCTCCATCTGGTCAACAGCATAGTTGTGGCCCAGAGAGTTGCTTGTCAATGGTGGTACTGCTTGTAGTTGTATCTTTTATCCTCTGTGTAGGATCTGGGATACGTAGTCGTCCTGAAGAATTCCCCAATTCTCCCAGTAGCGTTGTAGACGTCCACCCACTGTTGAAGGTTGTATGGGAACGGCTGGGGGTGGAAGACTCCAGGCGTTCCGAACCCGTCATTCAGCGTCTAAAGTTCCTGGCACCTCTGAATCCTCTGCCTCTTCCGGGGTTACCTCTGGGAGCTCCGGTTGGGCGACAAAAAGAATCCTTGCCTCCTCTGGAGCTGCCGTATTTCTTTTCCCTGGCTCTCTGTATCCCCGTAAACTTCGACTTGCCGGAGTAGCGTTGCGACGTCTGACGGATAACACTGGCTAGTGTATCGATGGACTTGATAATAATTACCTCCCTTGACTCTTTCGTTACTTCATTGGCCACGTCCTCAATTTCCCCTGCGAAGATAGATGATGCTGACCACGGAGCTCTGTATAGTGACTTGGTGAATCCTTGTCTTCTCAAGAGCGTCAGGCCCGCTGATGTGGATGCCAGATGTTCGGACATAAACTGATGATCTTTCTTTTAGGTCAGCAAAGCCGAGTAGATCATTCTATCTTCTTCAGAGGTCGAGTTCCTGAACTTCCCGATGAGGGTTTCATTGATGGCTCTTGACCTGGCTAGACCCAAGAAGTTACGTCTGGTAGTTGTGTCTAGTTGTGCCAACTTTTTATCCTCTACTTTATAAGTCCAAGATCGGGAGTCGTTGATGATCTTGTAGTTCTCATCTATCTCTGGGGCCTTCATGAAGGGTTCCATGTGGTGAAGTGAGAACTTCTTGGCGTTGAATGGCGGGACGCTTTGACTCTGGAACTTCGTTGCCTTCCTGAAGGCTGTGCTGAAGTTTTCAGGTACATCCGAGACAGAATCGATGGGTGGAAGGGTAAATGTATGAAAGTCCTCGTTTGACATCATATACGTGAATGCTTCATTATCCCTTTTAGAAGGTGATGCAAGTTCCAATCCATTTGCCATCCAAAGATTTGATCTCTGTATCGGAGAATATGATTCCGCCATCATCTTCAGATCTAGAGGCTTCTTGTTCTGGAGATCATTGCCGTTGTGCCTCCTTCCTGCGTGGAGATCTGCGTGGAGACTTGCGTGGAGACCTGCGCACAGGCGACTGGTTCGGATAAGGATCCTCCCTTGAGTCTTGAGACGTATCTCTGTGCCTTCGTGAAGGTGTAGATTCTCTTCTATGGTATGTAGGGTGCCTGCGCGCAGGCTCCTGATGGCTGTCCGTATCTGAGGAGGATGATCTGCAATGCTCCAGTGAAGGTCTGGTTCTGCTCTTGCGCGAATGCTCCTCTGCAATATCTATTGCAGATTCATCGTTGGCCAGGCTGGCAGGTTCTAGTGAAGTTGTCGTGGAACATCGTTGAGTATGTCGCAGGCTACTATCTTCAGCGGGATGCGATCTGCAGGCTGCTTGTCCTTCATGCAGGCTCGTCGTAGATGGGGCCTTGGTCGCAGCTTTCTCCTGCGCGAACCTCCGTTTCATCAGGTCTAACATCTGCTGAGTAAACTGCTGCATGAAGATAACCGGGTTGAAACTCTGCGACGACGGCTGCTGCTGCTGCTGCAATGAGGACGACGCATCTGAGAGTGCTGAGGCTTCTCCCAAGGACTGCTGCACTTGTGAAGACCTGCCATCTCTATCTGATGTCTGCGTTGATAGAACGTTTGACTGCGCTGAGATGACTGCTGATGTTACTGTAGACGAAGACCTCGTCTTCTTCTTCACTGCTACTTCAGGAATGAGGATGGGTGGCTCGTCATATACATCTACTTTGTCTGAAGGGATGATCTCTGCAGCGAAGGACCTCGTCTTGTGCGCTGCCCCATGGGAAGACTTCGCCGGAGTCTTATCTGCAGACAACTTCTTCTTCTGAGAAGACGATGCCCTAGTCTTCTTAGACCGTGACGAGGTTATTGTTGATGTTGACGACCTCTTCCTGGAGCCGGAGCTACCATCAGCCACAACAACACGCTCTGTAGTAGCAACCGGTAAATCACTGGAATGGACGGTTATCAGCGCAATCACTCGGTTTAGACATGATTTGTAAAAGCCGTCTAGACCTGTCCTTGGCACGTCTAAGAATGGAATATAAATAATTATTAAATTCAATTTCAGATAAATGCTGAGAAAGTTGACAGCGAAAGCTGGAAGAAAATGTAGAAGTACAATTAGGACATAATAAATGCAGATCAGCAACCGACGACCGGTATCTGCAACGAATGCAAGTTTTCATCAATTGTAACAAGATGAAAAATCATGTCAACAACGTGAATAAACAGATAATTTAGACAAAAATTTAAAACCATATTGCTGGTATATCATCCTAAATGCCGTATACAGCTAATTTAGTAGTAAAGGCCTAAATATAAAAGGACATAACGCCGTATAGGGGACCCAGGCGCTCTCACAACCGTCCTCTAGGGCGAAGAAGGAGAGAGTGAAGAGCATGTTGGGTCATGTGACGGGAGATAACACTGGGTGAGTGATTTTACGTCTGCTTTTTTGAAGGGAGCTTCAAAAAGGGGATTCAAGTGTTCCACTATCATTCGCAAGAAGGAGACAAGCAATTAAGCATGACTCAGGATAAGGAAAAATATGGTAACACTAAAATGGTAACAGAAAAGAATATTAAAGAAGATGTGTTACTAAAAGACTTTTGAAATTGAAGAACCACACTGATGTGTGCAGTGCTTCCAGATCTGCCTGTGACTCCCAGTTAAGAGGGTGTCCAACTGTCATCAGTATCTTCATCTTCATCAGCCAACTCATCAATAAGCTGAGACAAGGGTTTGGGAACACGAACCTCATAGCTACTCTCACTGCCTGTGTCATCTGTCAGCCTCATATCATCAGAGAACTCGACATCAGAGTTGCCTGGCTCCCAAGACGAGTCACTATCGTCGTTGTACTGTGCCAGGAGCTGGGTAGTAGTGGGAGGGATCTCCACATCCTCCTCAGGATGTCCAGGGGTCTCGGATGCATGTTTACGTTTCCGAGCAGCTGATATGGAGGACACTGCTGGTTGTACAGACCTCGATATATCAGAGTCAGTTCCAGATGGTTGATTTGAAGTCATTGATTCAGTTTTACTTGGGTCCTTTAGCAGAGGCCTCAACAAGGAGACACTACCTTGTGTTGATGGAAATCCTGCAGACTTCATCTCTTCACTTGTTGAAGTACAGGAAAGTGGTCGAGACCTCACATGTTTTGCATTAAACTCTGTTGCACTCTCACGTTTTGAATGCCTGAAGGAGACTCCAGATGAATTATTTTTTTCCCCAGGCTTTGGAATTTTTCTAAGATCTAGTAACGATAGATTTATTTTAACATTCACAGTAGGGGAATAGCTCTGATCATGAGATTCCACAGTTCCAAGCTCTGACTTCTTTCTGCTCTTCACACATGGCTCACTAAATTCTGAATGGTTATGATGTTTTTTGCATTTGTCAAGCCTTTCACAACAAGGTTTGGACTGACATGAAGTTAATTCTTGGTTGCATTGAGAAAATATATTCGGAATAACATCGACAGGTTTTGAATTAGTAAATTCTGAAATTTCAGCTTTACTTTTCCCCGTGACATCAAGGTCATTCAAATGAAAACTGTTTTTACTGGTGATAGCATCACTGGTGACAGTTTCTGAGATGCTACTGGTCCTGATCTTCTTATTGCTGAAAGCATCACTGCCCATTGTGTCCTCTGCATACTCCACATCCTCTGCTGATGAGATCCACATACAGGAGTCATCAGTTGGAGCAAGCGGACACACTGTGTCACGAATCATCACAGGATCAACTACAGATTCACAATGTGTTCCTGTGATGTCCACACCAGGTGTTGGGGATACTACATGCTCTTGTTCTCTCAATGTTGATGGTAACATTTTGCAGTGCTCCAGGGATGACTTCCACTCATCAGGAAAATTGGAGTTTGGATCTCTACATGTTGACTGCCAGTCATGCATGAACGCTGCCTTTACACTGTCATTGAACTTTCTCGAATCTTCCACTTGCTCTGGTAGATATGGTGAACAAGTGACACTGTACACTGCATCCGTGGATGTGATATCTGAAGCCAGAGGCAGAATAGCAGATTTTAATCTGCTGGCTTCACATGAATCTTCAGTTGTGACTGTTTGACCACTGTCCAGTGGGTTGGACACCTGTAAGTGTGACATGTGTGCTGTAGCTTCAGGGTTCCGATCAGGTCTATTGATTGCACTGAAACCAGTCAGCAAGTTACATGAAGCTGGAGAAAGGCCTGCAACATCAGCAGAAAATCCTGAAAGAACAGATGTGGTGGACACACTCGTGTCAAAGGCTTGATGTACACCAGGCTGGATGTTCAGTTCATTTGACAAATTCCTGTGTCTATCAATAACTAGTGGGCTATCCAAGTCATTGGTTTCCTCAACTATGTTTCTTTGAGGATGGTTATCAGTGCTCTGGTGAAATGACTGCTGGATGGCGGACCCCAATGACTGGTATTCAGTAATGATATTTGTAACAAGATCACCTGCAGTGAACATCTGACTGCTTGCCCCTGCAACAAGCCCATTAGACATGCTGCTCTCTGTTATGCCTTCACTCACTACAGCAGCCTCAGCCCCATCAGCTAATTCTATCACTTCATTAGCACCGGTGTTTTCTTCAATACTTATTGAGGCTTCCACAGTATCTGAGCTGTTAAAACCTGCCTCAATAATCTCTGGTGTTTCAGAATTGATTGAAGATGTTGACAGAGGTCGGACTCGTCTCCAGCTCCTGGTATTTCTCAGCATCTCTACATCACTGTCACTATCAGACATGACTCCTCTGGATGCATGGCCAGGAGAGCCATTATCATCAGAGGAATTAAAGAAAAGACTTTCTACTGCCACATCATCCGAGTCTGACTCTGAGGATCCATGTGTGTTCTGGTCATCATCATCCCAAGAGTCCCAACTGGAGAACCAATCATCAGGATGAGAAGGACGACGCCGCCGCTCCTGGTCCACCTGTTTCCGCAGGCTCTCCACATCCTTCCTAAGACTCTCCTGTAGGCACATCAGCTGCTGAAGGCGGGCCTCCAGTTCCTCAGCATGCTTCTGTCGCTCTGAAGCAAATGTAAATGTTGCATTGTAACATTCTCTCTCTCAAGATTCTAACATAAACATCTCTAGTTCTCTTAAACTCCTACGAGACAACTGTATAATTCGGTGTGAATAATATTGGTATTTTAATCTCAAAGGAATGGATGTTGTATTGTTAAAGTATGTAGGGATCACTGGATATTGAATGGGCTGTAAAACATGTAGTTGTTCAACAACACCACCCACCCACACCCACCCACCCACACCCACCCCCCACCCCCACACACACACACACACAGAGTTGACATTTCCTTGAAATAATTGAAAATATTTAATGTTGTTTCACAACTATTATGTATTCCTCAGGAAGAGGTGCCATTGGATATTATTTTCACAATTCTAATCATATTATATTTCACCACTTAAACAAAGTAAATAGCTCCCTCTGGGTATTGCAAAGTAATTAATGTTATATTTGGAGATACTTCTATACTTTTCAAACAAAACCAATACTACATTTTGTTGATTTTTTTTTAACGAAATTTCAAGCCATGTGATTAAATTTTCAATTTAATGTAACTGTCTTACCCCATACCTTTGTATCAATGATGACATTCACACTAGTGTGTGTGATATGTAACATAAAGGGTCATGACATCAACAGCTCTGGGTGTTTTTAAATCATGCATAAAATGAAAGAGAGTGACCAGCTGTGTAGAACATTGACATTGAGTTTTCACTTTGGAAAGTGAGTGAAAACTCAATGTCTTGTTCTACATATTTCTTTGAGGAAATACATTTTGGCAGTTAGAAGATTTTTTTTAAATGCAGAGTGAAGCAAAATAATCAATATTACCGGGGTACTTTCACTTTAATTATCAGCAACTAATTATCAGCAACTATGTATATTCACAGTTACTTCTGTCTTTGAGAAATGTTTAATTTACTTGACCAAGATGACAGTAAAACAGGGCCAACCTCACCTTCAGCATGTTTCTTCAAGGCTAGCATACAGTCATGGCTGTCTACATCCTTGATGGGAATGTGTAATCCACACTGCTGTTGACAAAGGACCTCTCGGAATTCACACAGAATTGTCTCATGCAACTCTAAGTCCTGGCGGAGAACCTGTTCTTTGCATTCTACATACTTGCATGTTACCAACTCAAAGCCACAACTGGCAATATGGGAACGGTAGTGCTCCAGTGCTGGTTTCATTGGGCAACCATTTTCACGGAAATCACAAATCATGGTCAGTTTGTTCAGAATGTTCTGAACAAGTGGGAGAACAGACTTGAGATCCCTTCGGGTAACTTTCTTCCGACATGATGGACAAGTGCGGCGATGACCGAGCCATGTCTCAATACAATGTCTACAGAAAACATGTTGACACGGTGTCTCCATTGGCTCATCTAGGACGAAGGTGCAGATACAGCACACAAGCTCAGCATCTGGTGGTGGGTCAAACTTGTCCACATCATACTGAGACATGGCTAGTTGTGTATTCTGGCCTGGAAAAAACACAGTATATGGTGCATGGACATATGGAACAAATATATAAATATTTATCAGTCTATAACAATTCCAAATCACTTTTCTATTTGTGAGTAGTTAGGTGGAATACATGTCTGACTGAACAAATTACAAAATGATTTTCTAAATATATACTTAAGCCATCAGCTGGACTATGTACCATAGTGTAATAATTTGTTGTCCATGCAACAATTGTGTGTTAATGACTGTTCATAATTTATGGCTAGGAGATAATGATGATTTTAATGAAGTTGCATGTACAATGTGAACGACACCCCCTCTCCCTCTCTCTCCCCCCCTTACTAAAATTTATGCACAAAGTTAGTGACACCCCCCTGCATGTCATGTACGAAATCAATTCCCTCCCCACCATAATTGTTTAATATTTACATTTACAAAATTGCTGCCACCCCATAGTTAATGTGTACAAAACTCATGATCCCCCTAGTTCCCATGAACAAAATGGGTGACCCTCCCTCAAAATCATCATCACAATCCCCCACCCCTTCACCCCACCCATGCCATAACGGTCCCTTAGTATTTTAATATAGACGTACCAAAAGGTCTTCATACTACTTCATACAAGGTAAGAGTTCAGCCCGTAACCCCCACTTGAAATTTATTCTATTTAATAGGATTATTTCGAGGGGTTAGGGTTAAGGTTTAGGGTTAAATTTAGGGTTAGTGTTAGGTTTAGGCTTTTCATTAAAAAAAACCACAGGCCTATATTCTTAGGCATAGAATGATTAACAAAAATATGGGGGTTACGGGCGGAAATCTTTCCCAGTACAATGGTATAAATAATACAATGGTATAAATATTGTCGTGTTAGTTACCACCAGCGGAATGTGCAATATACATAAACCCATGCCGCCACAGGCTAGCTGGCATTTGTGGAAAGAGACGAAGCTTTGTCTGTGACGCGTGACGACTGACTTTATTTCTCCTTTCCCTTATAAAATTCATCTCAAAGTTATGACAAGTGCCAACATCAAATGTGATAATGAATAATACCCATACGGGTGCATTAAATAAGGTACCCATTCGCAGCCTGGGATGACCGGGAACTAGTCTTATCTGTCCAAGCCTAGAAGCAAGGGGTTTTCTCACTTCTTGAAAGGCACAACACAGGTTCAAAAATAAGGCTCAAGTTGTTTGAATGTAGCACCTTTTGTTTTGGATGTACTCGGGTGAAGACGAAATCGCAAATGACAACAGCAGTCTGGCAATCTGTGTCCATCCGTTGAAATTGATGAAGGTCTTGATGACAGCTCTTCTTTGAAGCCTGAACCCTGATAACGTCCCTTTATGAGAACTTTCACCAGGTGGACTCACACTAAGCTGGTTCCCGGCTCCCTTTGCGCGCACCATATATTGCGATATGCGAGACGGGGCCCAGCTTACCCCCGTGGGTAGTGCGAACGCCCTTCAGCGTTTGATCAGTTTCTCCACTCCAGTGGACGATTTCAGCGAGAACAAATTTATTGGTATCGCGAAGTGAATTATATATTTCATAAACAGAATTCTTAAAGTATATTCATTTTTGTGATATTTTGTATTTATGAAATTTATTAATTGCGATCAAAATCGAATCAGGTAAATAAGGGACCGTTCATAATTTATGGCTGGGGGTGATGATGATTTTAAAGGGGGTCACCGATTTTGTTCTGGGGAGGTAGGGGGTCAGCAATTTTGTACATAAAAATATTTAAAAATTATGCTTAAAAAATATTGGAAGGGGAGGGGGTCATTGATGTTGTACATGACATGCAGGGGGTCACTTACATTGTACATAAATTTTAGTGTGGGGGGGGGGTCATTCACACTGTACATGCTTCTCCATAAAAATCACCATCACCCCCCTGGCCATAAATTATGAACGGTCCCTAATAATTGTCAATCTTCAACTGTTACTATCAATAATGGCACTCCACAAGGATGCGTTCTGTCACCGTTGTTATTCATTACATATCCAATTACTGATTGTGTTGCAAAAGATTCATCCTGTTCAGTTATGAAATTCGCGGACGACGCTGCACTCATTGCTTTATTGAATGGTTCTATCGAAGATAGCTATCGATGATAGCAGAGACCATATAATGGAATCTACTGTATGGTCTCTGATCATAGGTCAAACAGAACATGGAGATACTTTATCCCCTGTGGCATTACAATTTTAAACAAATAATGCTTGAAATGTTTATAAATATACACTTTCGTGGACGCTGATATATCTGCAAATTTGTTGATTTAGTGTATGTGACTTACAGGAATACAGAAAAGTGTACATGTGTGACTTGTTTAATTGTGTGTGGTGGTGTGTATTATGCACGTGACTGGGAGTATTAATTTTATATTTGTCCATATTTAACCATCTATTATCGTAATTGCCATACATATTATTTTATCGTATCATGTCATGTTCTGTTTGATTGATCTGATCTTAATGATTTGGTATCAAACGAGCGAAAGTGAGTTTGATACGAAATCTTTTCACGAGTTTAATAAAAATGGTACTTCACGGAAGCGAGTTTAGTATTCTGGCTAGCTATTCTCGAAACGTTCGTAGCCCTAAGAATTCTTAAATTTGTTCGTTGTCAAAGTGTTAAGAATGGGCTTAATAAATTCGTAGGGCTACGAACGTTTCGAGAATAGCTAGCCTGGGCCCTTATTCTCAAAATGTTCGTAGCCCTAAGAATTCTTAACTTTGATCGTAACCAATGTGTTAAAAAATGGGCTTAAGAAGTTCGTAGGGCTACGAACGTTTCGAGAATAGCTAGCCTGTTTATTAATCTACAACATATTAAATGTGATATAGTGTGATGACTCTTAGCTTTCCGTGAGTCAAGCAAGGTCTAATACCATTGTGACAGACGTATTAGCATTGTGACGTCATAGCTGCAAACCATTATGATGCCATACGTCCAGCATCACGCGATGTTATTACACAATGTGTAATAACATTGTAGATTTATTAAATAGTGATATCTTCAACGGGTGAGTAATAAATATCATGTGCACATGTGCACGTATCACTTTTGCCTTGCAACCATTGTTTCAGTATTTCGTCAACCGTGACGTCACTAAACAATTGAACGTGACGTCAAAGAAGAGTTACCGTGTTTTACTGCACATATGTACGTGAATAAAATGGATAATAAAGAAATTATTACAATTGAGCAAGTGTGTCATATGACTTATACGAAAATCGTGCAAAATACAAAATTTCACACTCGTTTCGTTTAAGTCGTGTTAGTACTAGTCGAATTGCCCCAGCAAATTTCAAATTGCCCCGGATTTTTTGTCAAATTGACCCAGGGGCGTAGTCAAAATGCCCTAATGTATTTTAAATGATTAAATATACGCCATAAATGCATAGTTTTTGTCAACTTTGATGTTACATTCTTCATATAAAAGTTATTAGGAAGTAATATTAAATAAAACTCGTGAAATTGTTTGTATCATACGAGATCATTAGCTCGTTTGATAAATACTTTATTGCTCAGAGCCAATACTTCTTTGATGAGCTTAGGCTGGGCCCTGTCTCTCATGTGGCCATATATACACGCAGTGTGGCGCAAGTTCACTACGCTCAAAGAGAGCCAGGATTCATGGAGAGCTTGGCTTCAATATACAAGGGACTTAACTCTCCAGTTGAGGTTTCATTGGAATACTTCCGATTTCAACACAGTTTGGTACGGGACGAAAAAGAAAATAGGTAGGGTCTACATTATTTCGCGGATTTCTTGTTCAACTATTATTCATTGAAGTAAGAAAGTTTGGTTGGTACGTAAATCTAACTGTCCCGTTTCACTAAAACATTGCGAGTCACTAAACAGATCATAAATCCCGGAAACATAAACATTGTTCTCATCACTCAGACATCAGACATCACCCGCGCACAACCCCCGTTGTGGATCTAGAAGGCATGTAGCGACGAAAACAACATGAACTATATGAACACATTCATTATGTTCAAACCTCTCTCCCTCTTGTTTGCTGTTTGGCATGTCTTGCAATAACAGACATAGTGTGTACATACATATTATATCAATCATTCATACCGGCTACTGCTCTGGTCATGTTTGTCTGTCTTACTGAAACTTGGCTAAAGGTTTCAAATCCTGGCTAATGTTTAGAAGGCTTTCATGATCACATGTGAATAACGTATGCATCATTCATGCAGTAGTGGTGTGACGATTCAATACGCATGGATGCATCGATCCATGGGCCGCCAATACAGGGAATCGATACAAAGTTTTACATTGTCGTATATCCCGATACAATACTCTCAAATGGGCCCCAATACATCGAAGTTTAGCTTGGAATATTGCCGAATCACGATATCTGTCACGAAAAAAAGACTTACTTTTGTTTGAAGATTAAAATATATACTTACTTATTTTCCCATCATAAGTAAACGTGTTCTCGGAAATTCTTACGTCAAGAACTGTGTCAGACATAGCGCTTGCATGTTATTAACATTAGTGTGTGTAAATTTAATTATCTCGTTTCCGAATGAACATTGAAAAAACGCTGGCGGAATTTGACAAAATACTTTCAAATGGTTTTGTTTGATCTTAAGGTATTTTATAATTGGTGTTAGAATTAAAGATTTAAGTATCGTGATACGTATCGTATCGCCACCCTTATATTGGGATTCGTATCGTATCGCAGATACAGTGTACAATACTTTGGCAATATATCGTCGTGACTAAAATTTTAGTATCGTGATGTATCATATCGCAGGTTGTATGCCAATACCAGCACTAGCATGCAGTATTGGGACAAAACTCTCATCTCTTTGCACACAATGCTTGTTTGCCTGATTTATACCCTTGTCGAGAGCATTTATAAGGTGATTTAGTAAAAATATAGAGCTATTTTTATGATTAAGAAAGAAGTAACCCTACCTCACAACCATGATTTGTCATGATTATTAATGTGAAGTTTTTAAATATGTTATGTAGGGCTGCACAATATAACCGGTTTACCGGTATTTACCGGTTCAGACATGAAAACAATACGTATTGCGATACACTGATCGAAAACCGGTATTTTGACATGCATTCGGAAAGCTTAGTAACACTCGGAAATCTTCGGATATTTCCGTTTTTTAAATTGTTCCTTTCCTTGTTTCATTTGTGCCAAACATTATTTACATTTTTATTTTGTCATGATTAAAAGTTTTTATTAAAGCCTAATCAAGCATTGTGATTTTGTTGTGTTTTTGCTTTATAAATCAAGCATTAACTCGATTATACATATTTTTTTTTAAAGAAAACTTCTTGCAATATATTGCAATACATGTCGCAATACATGCTTTCGCATCATAATTTATCGTAATACGAAAATTCCTTGCAATACCCATCCCTAATGTTATGGTTGTATTGATATACAGAAACATCAGAACTTTTTTCTATCAACTAAGAGGTCATAATTAAAATTTCAGTCGTCGGTGGGGTTAATGACATTTCAGATTCTTTAAGCATAGCGATACATTGCTAGCCACATGCTAGCACGCATTCGTAGTACTATTTCACACACTGGTTGATATTATTATTGATATTATTATTATTATATGTCTGTAACGTATTGACTGTATACATCATTTACAGTTAAACAAGCTAGCATCCAGAATCAATGATAATCTTATAACAAATATAACTGTATTTGTAGTAACTGAAGATGTCGGGCTTTGGTGAGAAAGAAGAGGAGGATATTTCATCTCTCATCTGCAGCCTAAATGAGTACCTGGAGGTGGATCGCCGGATGTCCGAGATGAAGATGTATGCACATCAGCACCCAGTGATGACCCTGTTCTGGGTGGTCACACTGGCCATGTGCTGTGTACCGGTCATCTGCTTCTGTACATTTGTCTGTGCCAGCATCTTCTTGGCTATCGCTGGATTTGTCCTCATTGAAGGTGTGTATACCGGGACTTGTATTCATGGGCAAGTTTTATGAACTGTTATTCCAATTGCACTAACTATGTACTTGAGCATGCTTCACTTGATTAAGTCAGAGTGGGAAACATTTCAGACAATGTGTTTTGTTATTATCGTGACTTCATGGAAGTCTTTTTTACGTTCTTTCACACACCTGATTTTTAGGGTTGTCAAATGTATAAATCAAATAATGCCAAATATATGACCTTATTGTCCAATGTAAGACTGTATGTATACCAAGGGGCGATGTGATTGCATGCACAACATAACGAAGAACAAATATATCGGACGACTGATTTAAATGTGAGAGAGAGACAATTTATTTCAGTACAATGGCCACAGTCAAAAACTGCACTCACTCCAATATATAGCATATGCATACTCAATGATGTCAAGAATGATGTCTTTTAGCAGCATTTAGAAGTTGTACATAGATGTCCAAGATATTTTTATGGATTAAATTTCTTTTTTATTTCCCTCACAACGTTTCAGGACCATAACAGGTCCCTCCATCAGGTGAACTGACAGTTGAGACTATAGTCTCATCAATATCAAGAATGTTTATTTGTAGACATACCTCAGTAGAATATACCATGTTTACAAAAAGAATACCAGTTTGTACAGTAACTACTGTATCGCACTTTGTAAATGTACTGTCATCAAAAAAGTATGATACATCACATAACATTTGCTGTTATCTATATAAAGCTCAACAGTTAACTTTCTCTCAGTGTACTGCAACTTTTAAAAATAAATTTTCACTTACAAAGTTCAGCTTGTATTTTTATCTACAAATGTTTAAGCCAAAATATTCTTAAAAGATGGACATACATAAACAATTCTGCCACCGTGAACCTTTATGATCTTAATAAGATGATTGATATTGATAATAAATATTTGTGGACTTAGAATACAGCCCTGACGTGTCAGAGGAGAAGTAATCTGTCAGGCCCTTACTTGTCCTTATACAAGCACTAAGGCTACAACAGTACATAGATACTATATTCTTAAGAAATTTGCCACATATATCAACCTCACTAAGACTTATAAAGAGAATATCTTGTTTAATAGAATCAACAGCTTTGGAAAAAACAGTAAACAGAAAATAAAATCTACCCTTCCTCTTGCTAGCAATAATCTTATAAAAAGTTGTTGTATGAAGTTGTTATCTTTGGTTGAGTAATTGGCTCTAAATCCAGCTTGTGCCTCATCAATAATATTATTAGTGTCACACAGTTTCTGAAGTCTGGAGTGAGGTTTCATTGACATGTTATTGCCAGGTTAAGTTTCATAGCCCGCTCAGATTTGCCCACCTGGTCAAATTCCATGACTTGGTCCAGTTTCATAACTTGATGAAGTTGGTAGCCTGGACAAGTTTCCACAGCCTGGTCAAGTTTCATACATAGGTCTCATTTCCTGACTTGGTCAAGGTTCATTGCTTGGTTAAGTTGCATGACGTCAAGTTTTCTAACACGTCAAGTTTTATAACATGGCTAATTTCATAGATCTAGTAATCTATGCTGTTGTCTTGCAGGTACTGTGGTAACCATAGCAACAGTACTCCTGGGCGGTGCATTGTTGGGGTGCTGCCTGCTGGCGCTGGGGTTCAGCTCAAGCCTAGTGGTGGGCTTCTATGCCATTCAATATAGCCTGGACATGGTCAAGGGACTGACCAACAAGATGCAGAAGCCAAAGTCAGGCCCGGCAGTCATGCAGCACAGTCCCCATGCTGAGACTCCCCAGAGACGTGTGGAGCCCTTTGTCTCTCTCAAGAGATGAGTGAGAACAAGAACAGTAGCTTGTACCAAGCATCGAACGCAAAACAATTAAGAAAGGAACAGCAGAATGCATACATAAACATATATGAATAGCTTGTGACTTTGGATATATTTCATGTGTTGCTATGTTTGATTATTTACATGAATGAACCTTTGCTGATGACAAAGATAATTATGTTTGTGCTTATCAAGCGGCTGTAAAAATCATGTGTGATATACTTAAATAACTTTCACAACAAATATTCCAGGTGCCTCTACTTGAGTATGTTCAGTCCTAGAGTACATGCTGTATGGAGAAATGGGTGTGATCAGTGTTGTGGTGTGCTGCCCTGGTATTATGCCTGTCATAGAGGGACATGGAGGTGAAGTGATCTGGCTCAAGTGGAGATTTCTGTCCCATTGATATTCTGGGATCTACAAATCAAGAGTTTGAATCTCATTTGCCAAGATTGTGGTTGTTGGTCAGTCATCAGCATGCCTGTGGTTGTTGGTCAGTCAACAGCATGCCTGTGCTTGTGGATGTCAATGGTAAATGTCCTTGACCTCTATCACTTTTCTCCCATATTAAGTCACACTAAGTGGGGATGTTGGCAGCTAAGATTTTTTTCAAAGCTCACAGACTCCAGTAAAAGAGGACCTCATATTATTATGTATGTCCCCTGAACTGACCATTCACTGATTCCATCTGAGATCTTGTAATGGAAAGGACAGCATCATCCAGGCTGTGTAGAGCTGGGAGTACATGACAGCAAGCATTCTAGCATTCTGGGAAAGCCACAGGTGAAGGAAGGAAACTGATCCTTAAATCTTTAGCCTGGTCTCATACTTAAGTCTTTCAGTGAAGACTTTTTTCAGTTTTTGCAGGAAAACATTTATTTCACAAGATGTGGCTTTCATTTTAACTTTTGTATTATCATGTAATCATTTTCATTATAATCACTATTATGCATAATCTAGTCATTGATTTAGTGATTCACTTTGTGCATCTATGATCAAGATAGTCTCTGTATGATCTGCATTATTAGCTGTCAGTGTACACTGTGTATATTACATGCTGCACTGGTTGGTTTAAATGTGTTCACCCATTCCTGTGCCGCACCTATAGTCAACATCATCAGTGGCTAACATGGAGAACACCATGGCTTATCTGAGAGTTTGGCCTGTAAGTCTGTTGCTTCAAAAACATACCATGTGAAAGTTGTTATTCAAGTTTGTTTGTCCTTATGTATGTGAACAAATTGATACTCTGTGGGCCTTTGGTATTGAAGGCAACAGTTTTCTGTGTTGTGTCCCTTTAGGATGTAAGATTCTGCATTCCACCTTTAACTATTTGTTTGAGAGGCATGGTGATGGTTTTCATACTTCGCTTTTCTCTGTTCATGTATTTTCTTGCAAAGAACCGAACACATTCATCCTTGATCATCCAAGGTACTGTGTCCCTAATGTATTATGATAAATACCATGGAACCATTCACATCAATAGCTTTGTATCTGAAGTGACATCACATCTCTTAGCCGGTTTAACGGAGAATATTTTTTTTTATCACTTGTCTATTTTTGGCACATTAAAATTAGGCTCCAATCGAGCCTGATCAGGTTTTAACCCAACATTTAGCAATATTCCAGCATTATCCCAGTTGGGGACACTAGAAATGGGCTTCTCACTTTGTTACCACTAGGCTAGCCCACCGTCCCATCTCCAGATGAAGCTAAAGAAGTGAATGGGTTTACAATGATCGATAGGACATATATTTGATAGTCGAAAATGAAAAATATTGTGTTCATATCACTGCTCAAAATCATTTTTACTATTGTTGCAAAATGTTGATATTTTTTCTTCATTTCACAACTCAGATTTGTGTTCATAAGATAAAATTTCATACGTATCAATGATTTCTTATATGTCAGACATGAAGGAACTTGCTACCACTTTCGTTGTTTCTTTCATCTTGGTAGAGACATTCATGCCGTCAGGGTGATGACACTCCTACTTCATCAGGTACACAGTTACCACTATGGAACTAATCATTTTTCAGGTAATTCACAGGTTTGGTGTTTCATCTTTCACCATGGTTATTGGGGAATATTCACACAGTGGTATATAACCTTGAGATATGTACAAAGCTCATTATTTCCCTATTATAAGCTACAGCTGTACAGTTTGGACATCTCATATGTTTATCAGCAATTTTAAGATTAACTGATAATTACAAGAGTAATTCTTCCTGTGTGAAGTGTACATGCCAACATGCTACAATCTAGCTTGTACAGGTAGTTGAGGTGCACAATGTTACTGCGATTCAAGTTACCATGGTTACCAGGTGACATACTGGTAGGTATTCTAATAACATACCCTTGGACCTAAACATTCAGAAAATAGAGAAATTTAGGAATATTATGGTCCATGGAGAAGTTGATGATCTGAAAGTACATACAAGCAGACAGGGCTACCAGAGACGTCAGCATCTTGTCCTGAAGCATAGTCAGAAGAGTTGTCATCGTCACAACTATTTGTAACAGAAAGAAGTGAATATTTTAAAAAACAAGGGAACCCACTAAATTTGTTTCGAAGCTGTTTCGTTTGATATTTTTGTTATCTTGTGGGTAAAACCTTGACAAACAGGAAACCGGTTTATTCCATGCAGCTCTTAAATAATTGCAAGAGATTTTACCAATGTATCCACCCGCTTCATCCAGTATCAGTTGTTTTGTTGTATTCTTGTTGAAGTGACCATGTTGATGTATCCAGTGTTTCTCATGATTGTTGGTATGGATATATATTTTGTTATGATCTTATCTGACAATAAACAATCAAATAATTTCTGTGTGTTCAGAGATGTGTGTAAATCAGTACAACTCCCTAATTAGTACCGCTCAATGATGTTACACTCAGCATCACCACACTCGGCATCACCACACTCGGCATCGTCACACTCGGCATCGTCACACTCGGCATCGTCACACTCGGCATCACTATTGGTCATCACCACTCAGCATCACCACACTCGGCATTACCACTCACCACACTCGGCATCGTCACACTCGGCATCATCACACTCGGCATCACTATTGGTCATCACCACTCAGCATCACCACACTTGGCATCACTACTCAGCATCACCACACTCGGCATCGTCACCCTCGGCATCATCACACTCGGCATCATCACTCTCGGCATCACTACTCAGCATCACCACACTCGGCATCATCACACTCGGCATCATCACTATTGGTCATCACCACTCAGCATCACCACACTCGGCATTACCACTCACCACACTCGGCATCGTCACACTCGGCATCATCACACTCGGCATCACTATTGGTCATCACCACTCAGCATCACCACACTTGGCATCACTACTCAGCATCACCACACTCGGCATCGTCACCCTCGGCATCACCACTCAGCATCACCACACTCGGCATCACTACTCAGCATCACCACACTCGGCATCATCACACTCGGCATCACTATTGGTCATCACCACTCAGCATCACCACACTCGGCATCACTACTCAGCATCACCACACGGGGTTTCGGCATCATCACACTCAGCATGATGGCCGAGTCACTACTTGTTATCATCACACTCGGCATCATTACACTTGGCATCACTACTTGGCATCACCACACTCGGCATCATCACACTCGGCATCACCACGCTCGGCATCACCACACTCGGCATCATCACCTCGGCATCACCACACTCGGCATCACCACATTTCGGCATCACCACAATCGGCATCACCACAATCGGCATCACCACAATTCATCACCTCGGCATCACCACACTCGGCATCATCACCTCGGCATCAGGTGCCGGGATCGAGCCCACCTGTGACCGGGTGTAAAAACCTCTTTCAGTGTTGTCACAAGCCCTAGTGTACAGTACACAACCCTGTGCACTTCAAAGAACCCACGAATCCGTTGGTATATGACCAGATGGTGGCCACATGAATATGTGCAAACACCTAGTTGCGGGTACAGCAACGTGCAGTAAACTTGGACAAAGTACTGTGACTATGTGTCCTAGTCTACCTAGCTGTGAATGGGTACCTCGTGAGGATGGGAAAGCCACACTAACTCGGTGCGCCTAGTGGCAGCAAGAGTTGAAATTGATAACAAGATGTGCCGTTGAGACTGACATCCAATGATCGAGGGAAAATATACCAGCTCCTTGAGCATGCACTAGTGCATGGATATGTGCGCTATATAAATATCCAATAACAATAACATCACCACACCAGAAGTAACACAATTTGGAATATGTATGGCATCAGTTCTTGTCAGTTGTTTGGACAATGTGGTGACTGTCAAACACAACCATCCATGACATCCCAGAGGTAATCACAGCGCCAATTTGTTCATTCCGCCATGTTACTTCATACCATATGATAATGTTCATTTGATATATGTGAATCCTGACCCTGCAGAAAGACATACCTATTACACAGAATCCATGTTGTTTATATAACAGTTTATTTCATATGATGATTGATAACACACATGATGGTCTACACTGAATAAAAGCATATCACATGTACTCTCATTTTGATTGACACCATCCCTTGCATACGGAATCCATGTACACAGTCAGTCCAGGCTGGAACAATGCACCAGCCCTCTACATTGCAACCAACTTTACACAACACGGAAACTGCAACAGGACCTGCAATTGCTTCACACCAATCACATTTTCTGTTTGATATCAACAAAATTTACAAAGCACCAAATTGATGTGTTTAATGAATAAGTTATGGTGGTTTGAAACCACTGATTGAAGCTGGCAGATACATAGAGATACAAGGAGTCAGCTACAGGTGTATAATAAAGCTAATAATTACCTCAATGTCCAGCACAGCGGCTCATCTGTGCTGCATTTCCGAATTTGATGCTATCAGATATGTGGAATGGCACTTCGTAGAATTAGGTCATTTGATAAAAACAAGGCCTAACATAACACAAAGTAACTATTGCAACAAGCTGGTATGCTATTGAGAGGACCACTTGATGCAACAAACTGGTAGCACTTTGCTGACGTACTAACTTCCTATGTGTGAAGTGACCAATTGTAACATCTGGTCAGACTACTGCATGCCTAGTGTTTAGGGGAGCTCTCACCGGAATGTAGTTCATACATTGAATCAAGCTGCCAGCAATCAGTAGCCACCATACAACAACAGTACAAAGCTTTTACTTTTGGTATCCAATCAATTCAAGAACTAAAACGTGAGGGCTGAAAAAAATAGATTGAAATGCTGAAGTAATTTACTTCTAATGGCTTACTGCAACCTTCATGTGAAATATACCTTAATACAAACAGGGATATATATCTATACATGAAAACAAACAAGAGACAATGTCCTCAAAGATCAGCAGCAGGTGTATCAGGAACACCCGGTACATTTGTGGGAGGTTTACATCCACCTAGCACTTCTCATAATATACTGAATACCACCATCTTACCACTATCCTGCATGTGTGGCACGCAGTGAACCACTATCCTGCATGTAATGGCACATAGTGAACCACTATCCTGCATGTAATGGCACATAGTGAACCACTATCCTGCATGTGTGGCACATGGTGAACCACTATCCTGCACGTAATGGCACATAGTGAACCACTATCCTGCATGTGTGGCACATAGTGAACCACTACCCTGCATGTAATGGCACATAGTGAACCACTACCCTGCATGTAATGGCACATGGTGAACCACTATCCTGCATGTGTGGCACATAGTGAACCACTATCCTGCACGTAATGGTACATAGTGTACCACTATCCTGCAAGTACTGACACATAGTGAACCACTATCCTGCATATAATGGCACATAGTGAACCACTAACCTGCATGTAATGGCACAATGGTGAACCACTATCCTGCACGTAATGGCACATAGTGAACCACTATCCTGCACGTAATGGTACATAGTGAACCACTACCCTGCATATAATGGTACATAGTGAACCACTACCCTGCATATAATGGTACATAGTGAACCACTATCCTGCACGTAATGGCACATAGTGTACCACTATCCTGCAAGTACTGACACATAGTGAACCACTATCCTGCATGTAATGGCACATGGTGAACCACTATCCTGCATGTGTGGCACATAGTGAACCACTATCCTGCATGTAATGGCACATAGTGAACCACTACCCTGCATGTAATGGCACATGGTGAACCACTATCCTGCATGTAATGGCACATAGTGAACCACTATCCTGCATATAATGGTACATAGTAAACCACTACCCTGCATGTAATGGCACATAGTGAACCACTACCCTGCATGTAATGGCACATGGTGAACCACTATCCTGCACGTAATGGCACATAGTGAACCACTATCCTGCATGTAATGGCACATGGTGAACCACTATCCTGCACGTAATGGCACATAGTGAACCACTATCCTGCACATAATGGCACATGGTGAACCACTATCCTGCATGTAATGGCACATAGTGAACCACTATCCTGCATATAATGGCACATGGTGAACCACTATCCTGCATGTAATGGCACAAAGTGAACCACTACCCTGCATGTAATGGCACATAGTGAACCACTATCCTGCACGTAATGGCACATAGTGAACCACTATCCTGCAAGTACTGACACATAGTGAACCACTATCCTGCATATAATGGCACGCAGTGAACCACTATCCTGCATGTAATGGCACATAGTGAACCACTACCCTGCATGTAATGGCACATAGTGAACCACTGTCCTGCATGTAATGGTACACAGTGAACAGCTATCCTTCATGTAATGGTACATAGTGAACCACTACCCTGCATGTAATGGTACACAGTGAACAGCTATCTTTCATGTAATGGCACGCAGTGAACCACTATCCTGCATGTAATGGCACATAGTGAACCACTACCCTGCATGTAATGGCACATAGTGAACCACTACCCTGCATGTAATGGCACGCAGTGAAAAGCTATCCTGCATGTAATGGTACATAGTGAACCACTATCCTTCATGTAATGGCACGCAGTGAACCACTATCCTGCATGTAATGGCACATAGTGAACCACTACCCTGCATGTAATGGCACGCAGTGAAAAGCTATCCTGCATGTAATGGCACATAGTGAACCACTAACCTGCATGTAATGGCACGCAGTGAACCACTACCCTGCATGTAATGGTACACAGTGAACAGCTATCCTGCATGTAATGGCACATAGTGAACCACTAACCTGCATGTAATGGCACGCAGTGAACCACTATCCTGCATGTAATGGCACGCAGTGAACCACTATCCTGCATGTAATGGCACATAGTGAACCACTATCCTGCATGTAATGGTACACAGTGAACCACTATCCTGCATGTAATGGCACATAGTGAACCACTATCCTGCATGTAATGGCACATAGTGTACCAGTATCCTGCATATAATGGTAATGATTGATGTATCAATCCTTCAATAATGTAACATAATTAATTTATTCATGTTTTAAGACTGTGTCCATTTTGCAAAAAGTGATGTTTGCAATAAAACGATTTGTCCTGGTGTACCATACAGCCTATCATGAAACAAGATGATATTTCACAAAAAGTACATATTGTATCCTATGACACGAGCATTGTGATATGCATGACATCCTTTACAATGTAAATAACACATTGGATATATATAACTGCATACAAAATGGCAACACAGTTAGTGAATACCCCAAATTCTTATGATAGTAGCAAATACGGAAGAATATGATTAATTATTACAAGTCAGCAATAGATGTTTAAGCAGCAGGATACATCCACAGGGTTTCCGGCAGATGTTTCAGACTGGAGCTACTGACTGGGGTTAACAATAAAGGAACAAAGAGGAAGCACAGACTTGGATACAGACTTACGGCTTCAGACAGGGCTACAGAAAAACAGGGAAGACCGATAAAGCCAGCAGGGTTCCAGACTTAGGCATAAGATGGAGACATTGGCAGGGGCTTCAGACTGGGGTTCCAGACTGGGCATAAGATGCAGAAACTACTAGGGCTACAGACCAGGGCCCCGTTTCACAAAGCTCTCGTAAGCCTAAAATCTCGTAACTTTTCTCGAAATAATCGTACCTCCTATACTGTAAAATGGAGAAACTAGTAGGGGCTACAGACAGGGGCATAAGATGGAGAAACTGGCAGGGGCTTCAGACCAGGGTTCCCATTCTGGGGCATCAGATGGAGAAACCAGTAGGGGCTACAGACAGGGGCATAAGATGGAGAAACTGGCAGGGGCTTCAGACCAGGGTTCCCATTCTGGGGCATCAGATGGAGAAACCAGTAGGGGCTACAGACAGGAAATATGACGGGCAACAGACAGGAAATATGACAGGGCAACAGAGAGGGTTCCAGACAGGAAATGAGTCAGAGACAACAGGCAGGAGGCTTCAAGTATGGGGCTCCTGATGGAGAAGCTTCCCAACAGAGGTTCTTGGAGGAGGTTACACACAGAAGGCTACAGGCAGGGGGCTGGTGGCCTGTGCATGGCAAGTAGATTTCAGTAACAATACATCAGAACAACTAATCTGTAGTTTGTCCTATTTTGGCCTAGTGGCACCACCTTATCAACACCACACAACCAGGGCTGTCACACAACACAGGCATCAGGAAATTGCAAATACATGATAAACTTATTCACAGATGATATTTTTACAATTCATCATAAAATAATAATTTGCAACATGATTGCCCACTTTGTGGATGACAAAATACACTACCTACTCACAAACTGCCAGTCACTACTGATACAAACTCAGGTTCAGGGGAGTACAAACAAACATCTGTTCCTGAAACCAAATATTTTATGTAAGGCATACAACTGATAAAACCATTGCAATAACAGTGTGGTCATCTCCAGGGTGACCAGACTCCCGATCCCCTTGTAAGTGGCCTGGTGTAACTGGGGAAGGGTTACACTAGTCAGACTGGGACAAGGTGACAGCGCCATTATTACACACATAGCAAACCTAGCTGACTTACTTCATCAAGGTGGATCTTACATTTTGATACAAATTCATAATATGTCTTCTTGTGTGTAAGCCGACATGTCACACAGCGACTATATCTGACACATGTCATATAGATACTGTACCTGATACATATCATACACATTGTAGCTGACATATGTCAGGCTGGGAATCAGTGTACCAGACACACAGAGACTGGAACTGCCTTTAACTAGCCTCTCTTCAGGAAACTATGTACACACTAGCAGCACTAGGCCCTCCTCAGATAACACAGAGTCTTATCTCCATGCACACATCATGCACAGTATTCACAGCCTATGACCGGTCATCTGTCATTTCCAAGAATTGAGCATAAACATCTCTTGTGCACTCGCCCTTAGGGCTGAAGAGGAACTTGTAGTAACTGCCATCTGCACACACCACTGAAACAGGATAATAGAACAATGTAGGTGACGGTTCAAAATTGGAATGTTTCATAATGTTCTTGTTTTCTTAATTCACAGGCATTTTCACATTCTACAGGTTACCCCCTACCTACATCAATGCCATGAAATATGTTATTTGGCTATAGTACTGTCCAATTGTAGTCCCTAAAACTACACTGACACAGGACTGTAACCACACTGACACAATGGTGTCTGTAACTACACTGACACAATAGTGTCTGTAACTACACTGACACAATAGTGTCTGTAACCACACTGGCACAGGCACAATAGTGTCTGTAACTACACTGGCACAATAGTGTCTGTAACTACACAGGCACAATAGTGTCTGTAACCACACTGGCACAATAGTGTCTGTAACCACACTGGCACAATAGCGTCTGTAACCACATTGGCACAATAGTGTCTGTAACCACACTGGCACAATAGCGTCTGTAACCACACTGGCACAATAGTGTCTGTAACCACACTGGCACAATAGTGTCTGTAACCACATCAGCACAATAGTGTCTGTAACCACACTGGCACAATAGTGTCTGTAACCACATCAGCACAATAGTGTCTGTAACCACACTGGCACAATAGTGTCTGTAACCACATCAGCACAATAGTGTCTGTAACCACACTGGCACAATAGTGTCTGTAACCACACTGGCACAATAGCGTCTGTAACCACATTGGCACAATAGTGTCTGTAACCACATCAGCACAATAGTGTCTGTAACCACACTGGCACAATAGTGTCTGTAACCACATTGGCACAATAGTGTCTGTAACCACACTGGCACAATAGTGTCTGTAACCACACTGGCACAATAGTGTCTGTAACTACACTGGCAAAATAGTGTCTGTAACCACATTGGCACAATAGCGTCTGTAACCACATTGGCACAATAGTGTCTGTAACCACACTGGCACAATAGTGTCTGTAACCACACTGGCACAATAGTGTCTGTAACCACATCAGCACAATAGTGTCTGTAACCACACTGGCACAATAGTGTCTGTAACCACACTGGCACAATAGTGTCTGTAACCACACTGGCACAATAGTGTCTGTAACCACACTGGCATAATAGTGTCTGTAACTACACAGACATGGTAGTCTCTATAACAACACTGGCATTTAGTCCACCAGCCATGAGTCATGAGATATGATTCATTTGGGACAGCTTTCTTGATGCTGAAAGAGTGATTTCTTTAACATTAAGTTTGAGAGCAGATGGTACAAATAAAGTCTGTGCCTCACCTATCACCTATTTCTAAATTTCTGTTTTTTGTTCCCCCTCATTTCTTAAAGATCACATATACTCTAGGGGGTACAAATACATAAATCACTACTTGGCATTGTTATATATGAAACCCCGTCATTAAAACTACTCATTTCGATCTTTAATGAACTTAAATCGACCTTTTTGACAACAGTGCACAATTCTCACCCGTGAACAAAATTTCAACCAATCAGAGCGGCGCGTCTCTGTAACGTCATGAGAGGAATAGATACGAGGGCCGATGCAGAATTTATGTACATTTCAGGGGGTAAAGTATCTTGTTTACAGGTTTGTATCAACCTGAAATCGTTTCAACTGTTGTGAAAAATGAAAGCTATATGTTCTCACGATCTACTGTCATTTAAGTTTGTCTCCTGCTTTGCCTAGTTTACCAGTTACAACTTGTTTTCATAGACGATTCTGTCAAAATCGCTTGGTGTCGCTAGGCCTTATTTTGTACGCGCCAGACGCTAGTGATAGTGAAAATGATGATCAGCCTCGCTCATCACGGTTACGGTTAATTTCTTCAGCCTAAACAGTGCGACATTAAGAAGGGTTGACGCCCATCAGATGTAGTTATTTGAAAATATCCCCGGTAGTTCGTGTCTGATTGTAATAAAGTATGAAAGCAGTGTGGGCTTTTTCAGGTTTTCTAATGCCTGGATGGAGTAGTATTGACAATGGTGGAACTGCATCAGGTCCTTCCAAAGGCTTAATTTTCCAAAGTAAGCCTTTGTTAAGACCCTAATCCCGTTCCGCTATTGTGTATACTACTGGTGGATGTACAAACAAAATTTCATGAAAATCGGTGTAACGGTTTGGGAAATATTGCCTTTTGTCTCTCGCTGAGCTGGCTGGCCGGCTGGCTACGTTATGTTGATATCCGCGAAACAATTTAATGTGAATCTCCTTCTATGATTTGTTTGGTTTTCGTAACGAAGGCTTGTCGGGCCTCTTGCTTCCCTTATTCTATGAATTTTTTTTTCTCGTCTTCGCAAATGATGGCGTTTTTACGAGACTTGGTCCGAATCTCTTGTTTCATACTGTGATATTTTGCGATTTCTGATAGCACCAAACGATAATCTTCTTCGGAGATTTTAAGAGTCGGTGAGTGCGGTGGAAATATGATCGTCTATCGTGTTTTACTGCGCTTCGGCTAGAATTCTAATTTCGTTGTGTCATGATTTACGTTGCAGTCTGCGAGAAACGAACTTAAGGGTCAATCCCATCAACCCTACCACTCCGGATGTTATTTCGATGCCTAGCACCAAGGGTGCGGCCACGATGGAGGGTAATAACCCGACACCAGCCACGCCTAATCCCATGCTGACTGAAATCAGAGCGCTGTCAACACAGTCCAATGAATTGACAGCCCTGTGATATTTTTTCTGTAATGCCGACCGCGTATCGCGTTCACGTTCTAGTTGTTGTTGATCTCGCATATCTGTCGCAATTGAAACCCATCTACGGTTTCCAGTGTTTTTGCTACTTCGTCAACAACCGGGTACAGTCCCATCCTGTGTGTCTATATATATATTTTTTATAAAAAAATATTTAATTGGGTTTCCTTTAATGTCCGATCGATGTATTTGAGGCTGATAAGGTTTAGATTATCATACACTTAAATATTCGCGACACAAATCAATTTTCTTTCTATAACACAAACTCCATCGAGGCTTATTATGGGTGTCGATCCCGGTCTTATGACGATACGACACCGTTGGTGATTGTGTCTGGCGAACCAGCGTATTATCAACCCAGTCAAAAGTGTTCGTTCTGACCCACGAGCGTCTGCGAGATAGACATCTACTACGAGCGTGGTGTGTGATTTGATAGTCAAATTTGAATCGAATCCTGTTGGTAATCGGGTACGTTAAACCGTAAATATGAAGCCACGTCGTTTGAAGCTAACATGTTGCCCGCGTGACCTGGTATTCATAAAACTTGTACATAAAAAACTGGAGTGAAAGATGTGAGAAGGATCCCGTTGTTCGTAATTTTGGAGACGTAACCATTGTTTTTAAAAGATATGTGGGGTGAGGTGAGGGTCATGTCGATCAACCAGTCGGGCTGTTTGAAGTCTGTTAGTGACACCCGCTCGTATACGTTGTCTTCTAAGTGCAGGACGTACAAGGTGTTTTCCTCGCCAGGCAGATCGAATCCCCGTGTGTCCCCAAGATCGGCTAGCGTTACATTGGAATGATGGTTGTTCATTGTTTTATACAAAATTACGAAATGGTTTTCAATTGGTTATAATTCCTCGGATGTGCACTTCAAACCCATGAGATGTTGTGGAGTAGGAAATTTTGGTGAGTGATATCGTCTCTTCCTTGGTCACGGTAGCTCCCTGCAGACTGGTGTAGGCGTTAACGTTCACCCGCACCTGAACGGAGCAAACTTGGTATTGTTGTATGGCCCAGCAGAGTTTGATCCCTTTCACGATTTCGACAACGTCACGCGCCGACGGCGGTTCGCCTAGGTAGACTTGGATGTACAGCGTGGATTTCGCCAGCATGTTTTTCAAGGATGTTCGCCACGCTGTTGAATTCCGACACCATCTGCAATCCCACGTTTTGTGTCCCGGGTTTGCTCGACAGCATGTGGGCTACTCTTTGCTTCAACGTGCTGACGATCACGCTGCGTCTTTGCATAGGGACGTAAGCCACGAGCAGCGTTCCGTTGTTAGGTAGTGATCTTTGTTGTCCGTGAAAACGTGGGGAGAGTCTAGCGTGATGTTGAGATTCCAGTCAATTTGGGATTTCCATTTGTTGTCACCGTGAAGATGAGAGTGTAGTGCGTGTTTCTAGAGATGGCCGTGGTCTCGACGTCGTCCAGATGGAACAGCCTGCCGCGGAAGGCTGGGGTTATCGTCCATTCGTCCTCGTCGTTGCGGATCAGGTTGTACCGAGTGTTGTTGACTGCTCCCTTCGGTATCGACAAAATCACCTAGGTCATTCTTGCCACCACCAGCGGCAGTAGAGGACGGCAGTTCGACGCGTTTGTAAATGCTGTTTTTCAGTTGCAAGGCGTGCAGTTTGCCGTCGACTCCTGGTTCGTCGAATCCGCGCGTGTCCCCAAGGTCGGAGATCGCTATGTTGGCGCATTTTCTAATGCGTGTCATTGTCGTATGTGCAGCGTCGCGCGCTGAGACATCCTATACTTACAGGATCGTTTTTAATGTCTAAAACTTAAAATTTCAATTCCATGATGTTGCCCCGGATTAATTTCTTGTTATGCCGCGACGAAAACGATTCGGTTCTGCCGCCGTTGTACTTTTCCGTTTTCACCGGCACGGCTCTCAGCAGGGTTGAAGGTCGTTGGCCTTGAACGTTGTCGGTCGTCCCTAGCTGATCGAGATGAATGCACAGTTCGCGATACGGAACGAGATCGGGTAATTTCGTGCCGGTCACAGTGGTTTCCGGTGGTATGTCATTCGACATAAACCCGACCCGAGTCTCAAGTCGTTTTTTCCGTTGTTGGCTAACACGACCGTGCCGTTCGAGTCGTTCATTTTGGGTTTGAAGATTTCTTCGTTGAGCGAGCACACACTGTAGTAGCCGTCCATTATTTGGTTGCGGGCGTTATTGATGAATAGCCTGTTGTTTCTGCCGTTGATGTTGGTCCATCACGGGTAGTAGGTGATATCGAAGAGCGCGACGTCGAGCTGACCGGACATGTTATCGATGGTGTTAAGCAGTTGAACGG